AGTCTATTAATAAATATATATATATATATATATATATAGTTTGACTATCAACTAGCGGTGAACAGTTCACTACTGTCACGTAACCTTATTCGCTCATGTCAATCGCCCTCATTTTGAAAACATTGAGAGACATTTAAGATACACGATACAAGTATGAAACCATAAAATTAAGTAATTGATGGCAAAAACGGAAGCCTTTGATTTTTCAAATCTCCTTTTGTGCGTATACGTCTGGTAATTTAGTCTGCTACATGGAAATTACTAAACATCAGTAAAGGTCGTTGATTGGTTCCACAAAAGATTAATATATTAAATTCACGAATCACGAGGAAAGTTGCGAGATAGATCGTGAGAGCTCTCGATTGGATTTAAACAATTTTTTGTATTAAAACCCAACATGGCTGCCATGCGCCCTGCTTCTGGTTACACTCTCACATTTATCAAACATTCCCAATCGTTTCAATGCCATCGAATTTCTACATCGAGTTCTACAAACATTAATAAATCATGTAAAAACAACAACTAATCAAGCGTTTTTATTCAGTGTGTATTTTTTTTTATATATTCCCTTTTGAATTAGTTTTAAATGTCACAGAACGCATGAGCTCAAACAAATGACCCATTATAGTAGAGAAAACGTTGTGCGGGGAGTGTTATGTCTTGTGATTGGCACGATATTGTTTGGGGCACACGTCTCCTGATTCATATTACCATCTAATAATTGACAAATGAAAGGTTTTTTAGATGGAAAGACAAGAAAAAAAAATGTCTTTATTGGGCCAATTAGATGAAAAATATCAATGTAATACACACGCAATTGGAACGTGTCTAGCATGCCTGGCACTTTCTTCAGTTACACTACTGTGACGTATTTTGTGAGCTGTATATAGAGATATATATCACAGTTAACGTTTAAAATATAAATTAACTTGCATAGACCTATGTGCTGTAATTTGAAAGACAGTATAACAATTATGAACCAATTAAATCTTGATGAGTTAAAAAAAAATAATAAAACTTCAGTATGTATACTGTAACACTAACAATGTGTTAACAACAATGGAAAGCGCATTTTGAATGAGTTTAGATGCTACATATTGTCACATTACATATGTATCTATTAAAATGTTGTGTATTTTTGTTTTTCGAAGGTGTAGCGTTTTTTTTTAAATAATTTAGATTGTAAATTGTGTGTGAGCAAACATTCTAAGAATCAACCAATTGAATATATCTATATATAATATGTTTGGTAACTTACCTCTTATAGACGATCTCGTTCAATATCTGAAAGATATTTTTTAACAATTAATATATAATGGGTGTCCTCATCTGAAGCTGAATACTTATATAATCACATCATAGCAGTATTGTTGTGTATTTTGTAATGTTAAACATAAAAGGACGTATTGCAATGGTGTTTTGCGATGTACAATTTCTGACTCACGGGCTATTCCATTCATCCCCACAACTTGCAAGATTACCAACTTGGATACTCAAATTTACACCAAAGTGTCAACAACTTTCTAAATATTCTGCTATTCCCGGGGGTCTCCAAATCATGTAGTAGCAGCACAACTCAAAACACTGAACCAAAAATGGGATGAATAAGATGGCGGATCGGATGAGGTACTCAGACACTGAAACCTGCCGAAATAGTGAATTACATTGAAGTCCACGTGTCGGACAACACAACAAACATAAAAAAACTACCACAAATCCCGTCTGCCAACATTTAATTAAAAATCCGACCTATAGAGAATTGGTCAGCCACGTATGTCAGTTAGTTCAGTAGCAACAACGCAAAATATATGGTTAATATCGAATCCTTTAAAACTAGTATATTGAATAGTTCAATCCAAGGAGTGTCACTCGGCGAGAAAAGTAGTTAACAGTGTGCCTAGAGTAACTATATAGATGTGTGATCAGATTACACGAAGTGACATCTATGACCTTCACATCATATTCAATCTATAATCAAACAAATGGAAAGAGGAAAACGCAACTGTTCAATCCTTTAGAGAATATCCACTGAGTGGTGTAACGAACTAGTGCATCGCATGGTCAAGGTCAAAAGAACATCAGGTGGTATTTTATCCCAACGCAACGCTAGATACTATTTCTTATAGAAGAAGATTTGTTTTTATATTAACGCTAAATTAAATTGTGGATTCTGATATTTAAATATGGATCCCTTAAACACCGCACTATTTTAATATTGAATGTGGAGCAACACTTCAGGATTTAAAGTTCGATTAAAGTTAAAGACATTTAAAGTACACAAGCACACATACTATGGATTATGGTGCTTTATCCAAGCCGCTAGGTATATTTATATATCTAACAATAATTTATTGCGATAATTATTACTAGAATAAGAACAAGACTAGATATAGAGCAATCATGATTTTTGAGTGCAATGTTTTAATAGGAAAGATATGCATG